TTAGTCATTGTGAATAATGTGCTCTGAACATGGTTGTGTAAGTATCTCTTCAAGGCCCTGCTTTTAATCCTCTGCAGGATATACACAAAACTGGAATCCCCAGATCATAGGGTAATTGCATGTTCATTTTGTTGAGGAAAGTGCCATGCTGTTTTCCACACAGTCTTTCACACTCTCACCAGCAATGCACAAGACTTTTAATTTCTCCACATTCTCACTAATACTTTTTCTTTCTGTTTATCTTTTTTTTTATTAAGGAATGAGCATCAAAGGGGGTTGTGGGGTGTTTGGGCCGATTATCAGGGTCCTACCGTGGGCAGACAGGACGTCTGTAATCACGGCTGTGAGTGGCAGGTTGATCCCGAGTTGGATCAGATCAGAGCCCGGCTCAGCAATGTGTGCTCCATGGGTTTTAGGCAGCCGGCCTCTTTCCTCTCAGCTCTCTTGGGGTCCTCACATCCTCCTTATCCCATGGGTGGGTGGCTCTGGCATCTCTGTGGCCCGCCACTCACAGCCTCGGTCTACGGACGTCCTGTCTGTCCACGGTAGGGTCCCGATAATCTGCGCAAACACCACCATGCCCCACAACCCGCTTTGCTGCTAATTCCTTAATAAAAGAGCGCGTTTATGAAAGTTGACAGCATCGGGGAGAGTTTTAAACGCTGCACATTAGGCCTTTCATGGGGAACAGCTAACGACAGGCAGGCTCAGCGCAACAGAGATTTCATCTAATATCAGTTTCGGGAAAGACAATTGCAGGGTTATTTCTGCAGATTAAATTAACTGTATTTGGAGGTCACCTCCTGTGGCTAGATTGAGAGAGACAGATACGCAATAGCAAATGCTATCAACGAGATATTAATTCCACTCCACAAACAAAGATATTGTGCCCCACCCTTGAATACTTTCAAAGAGAAAGTTTTTCTTTATCAACCCTGTCCCCCAATCTTCGTGTAGATATTGAAGGACAAAACGTACTGGCCAATTATCAGGACTGTGCACATTCATTTAAAGCACTTCTCATTGGGTTTATTTGAAACATGTGGAGGGAGCTGAATTGCTCTGCCCCTGCCCATTTTCTGGCTGGGTGCTCAGGCGAGGGCAGCAGCAAGCGGTGACGGGGCAAAAGCCTTGGCGGAGGGGAGGGGGCCTCCCATCAGGGTCAGGGGACGGGGGAGCTGTGGTGCTCCTTGCTGAGGCCACCAGCTCCCAAAGCTGGCCATGCTTCCAAATCCCAGGGAAGCTTTGAGTGGGGCCAGCATGAGCTTCTAGAAGGCCAGGGCTTGAACCTGCTCCTCTCTACCACCTCCCGGGATTCTGGGTTTTATTATTTTATTTTTTCTCTCTTCATTTCCTTTTTGCGGTGAAGCAGACTGAAATGGTTTTTGGAGTGAACAAGTGAAGGGTCGGGGCCATGCCCAGTCTCCCCGTGAACCTGGAGTGGCACTGGAAGGAAGCACTCAGCGAGGCCCCCACCCGGCCACACGTTAGAGCTCCCAGAGCCTGTTCCTGCATGGTCCTGGGGGAAGGGACCTGCGTCACCCCCTGGCACATGTGAACGACCCAGGGAGGTCGGTGACAGGAACGTGATGTCGGGTCCAGCGGGAGGCCCTCCGCAGTTACTGGGGAAACCCATGAGCTGAAGGTCCTCCCCACCCCTCTGACCCCTCTGCCTGTTCACACCACGTCCCCTGGTTCAGTGGCCTTGCCTCTCCCTGCCCCCTCCGCTCGGCCACAACTCCTCCTCGGCTCTCGCAGGCCCCTCTCCACTGACTGCCCTTGTCCTTGCGTTTTCCTGGGACAGCCCATCTGCGCCCTGGGCCCCCCTCCTCTCCTGGTCCCTGAGCTCACCTGCTGCCCCCCACACACCCCATGTGTTCAACCCTTTATGCCATGTGGCATCAAGGCTCCAACTCACCTCCCCTGGGACAGACGCGCCCCCCCGTCCCCACCCCCTTACAGCAATTCTCAGAGCATGGCCCTTGAGGTGGAGCCAAGTGGCCCCCAGAAAAGATCTTCCCACGACCTAACTGGAAACCTAGAAGTGTGAACTGGTTTGGACAAAGGGTCTTTGCAGATGTAAGTCAGGAGGTCGGGATGAGATCAGCCTGGATGAGCCCTGTGAGCCTTGAATCTAAGACCATGTGTCCTCATCGGAGCACAGTGGGGCCCAGTCACACACAGGAGAGGGCCAAGTAACGATGGGAGCAGGGAGAGAGGTGGTTCCACAAGCCAAGGACGCTGGAGGCCACTGAGAGCCGAGAGAGGCAGGAAGGACCGTCCCCTAGCACCCTTGGGGTGAACAGGCTCGTGGACACCATGGTTTCGGAATCCGGCCTCCATGCCGGAGATGAATTGCTGAGGTTTCAGACACCCAGTTTGTGGTGCTGTGTGATGGTGACCTAGGAAACACACAGGGCCAGGCTAAAACGCAGGCCCCTGCACCCTTCTCACCACATGCAAGGCCTAGGAATCAGCATTTTACCAAAGTCCCCACGCGGGCCCTCTGCACACTCCCCCTTCCCGCCTTGGCCGCTCTTTGCCTTCTAACCCCCTCACCCCCTGGGAGGGTCAGTGCCTTCCTGGAGGCCTGGGGACCTGCCACTCAGGCAGCAGGACCTTTCTTGCCAGAGCCTCTTCTGCATAGCTCCCCAGAGAGGCCTTGTCTGGGGCCTGCTGTCTACTCAAGGAGTTCGGCAGGCCCCACGGCCACACTGTCTGCTAGGCTGAGTTACAGCTCCACGTGGCTGGTGCTGCCCTGCAGGACCGACTCCCAACTCAGCAATGCTGAACCCTGAGGTGGGTGTGGGGATCAGATCCCACAGGTGGCAGAGGAGAAACGGCACCCTGGGTTTTGTTTGTTTCAAATGTGCATTGTTTTCCCTTCTCCTTTCTCCACTCTTTCCTTCTCCTCCCTCTCCTCTTCCTCCTCACCCCTTTCTTTTTCTCCTCCTCCTCCTCTTCTCCCTCTCCTCCTCTCCCTCTCCTCCTCTCCCTCTCCTCCTCTCCCTCTCCTCCTCCTTCCCCTCTTCTTCTTTCTTCTCCCCCACCCTCTCCTCCTCCTCTTCCCTCTTCTCCTCCTCTTCCTTCTCCTTCGCCCTCTCCTCTTCCTCCCTCTTCTCCTCCTTCCCCTCCTCCTTTTCTTCCCCCTCCTCCTCTTTCTCCCCGCTCAGTGCCTGCCTTAGTGGTCCTGCTGTCTCCCACGAGGCTCATTCTGGAAGCATCTCCCGGGAGGCTGCTTGTGCCTCAGCTGTGAGCAGTGCGTAATCAGCCCATCCCAGGGCAGGCAGTGCTGACACGGCTGTGAGACGGAGCTCATTTAGGGCAATTTTAAGTGGAGACCAATGACTTTGGGGAAGCTTCAATTTAGTGAATAGCAGCATAAAAAACAAATATTAGGAGAAAAACTGGGCACGGAAGGGGCCTTGGGCCGTGAGTCAGGAACAAGGCCCCAGGTGGTCAGGCTGGGAGCCTAGCAGGTGCTCTGGACCCCGCCCAGGTGGAGGGCATCCCTGGGTCTGCAGCTCACAGCTCCCCTTCCACGCCCACCCCCATCTCCTCCCCAGCGCTTTCCTCTCCAGGTGGGCGTCTAATCCCAGCGACTGCAGCTGGGGCGGGTGGGGGCTCTGCAGAGTGCTGGGTGGGGTCTTCAGGGATGCAGAATGGATGCCTAGCCTGGATCCAAGCTGCTCACTGGGCCGCATTAGCAAGGACCCCATCTCTCTCTCGAAGTCCTGAGGACACCTGGTGGCTCTTGCCAAAAGTTCCACCCAGCGCCCGTGTACTCAGCCCCCGGTCTGGGGGTGTGGAGCTGGGGCTCCTGAGACTTCCATTTCTGAAACGTTTTTCCCAGCGAGTCCTCTTCCCTGCAGATGCCTCATCCCAGGGATGGCGCCCCGGAGAGCCGTGGGTGCAGCTCCATCCTGTCCTCGGCCACGTGGTATTGATGGGATGGCTCACTCAGGCCAGCCCGTCCTGCTGCCCATGCTTGGAATTTGGGCTTAAAACAGGGGCTGCAAGTTGTGGTCTGTGTGGGGCTGACGTGTCCCCACAAACTCAAGATCTCCAGGCAGCCTCAGCCAGACTGAGGGTCTGAGGACCACAGAGAAGGATTGTTGGTCAAAGCGGCTGCGTGTAACCAGATGCTACAGAAAGAACTAAGCTAAGGAAGGAATCGTCCAGCCGGCAAGCAGGGGCGGTGAGAACAGAGAGTCCCGCAGTTAGGACACTGGCAGGGTTTCAAGGGGGAATTGCCAGGACAAGGTTAGTGGATCCTGGTTAGAGCTCGGCCCTGCCGAGGAGCCCGCCTAGGGTCAGACCCGCAGGAGCCTGATTGGCAGTTGCTGTGAATTAACTCATCTCAGAGCAAAAATGCATCCAGACGTGGCAGCCAGGGTATCATCTGGTGTGGACACAGTGGCCCAGGAAGGGAGGCAGACTGGGGATGTGGATCTCTCGTGGAAACCACCTAATTCGAGCAAAAGGTCTGCGGTTAAATCCGGGGGAAAGGGAGGTGGTCACAGAGGCAAGAGACACAGTCAGTGTCTCTGTCTGTCTCTCTTTCTCTCTCCCCCCACTCCCCCTTCCCCCTCCCTCTCTCTCTCTCTCCCCCCTCCCCCTCCCCCCTCTCTCCCTCCCTCCCTCCCTCCCTCCCTCTCTCTCTCTCTCCCCCCCTCCCCCTCCCTCCCTCCCTCCCTCTCTCCTCTCTCTCCTCTCTCTCCTTTCTCTCCTTTCTCTCCCCCCTCTCTCCCCTCTCTCCCCTCTCCCCCTCCTCCCCTCTCTTCCCTCTCTCCCCTCTCTCCCCTCTCTCCCTCCTCTCTCCCTTCCTCTCTCCCTCCCTCTCTCTCTCCCCCCTCCCCCTCCCTCCCTCCCTTTCTCCTCTCTCTCCTTTCTCTCCTTTCTCTCCTTTCTCTCCTTTCTCCCCTCTCTCCCCTCTCTCCCCTCTCTCCCCTCTCTCCCCTCCCCCCTCCCCCCTCTCTCCCCTCTCTCCCCTCTCTCCCCTCTCTCCCCTCTCTCCCTCCCTCTCTCTCTCCTGTCTCTGCTCTCTCTTCCCTCCTAGCTCGTGCTTCTGTATCCCTGAGCCTGCTGCCATTGCCAGTTGCTATCAGAACATCTGCAAAGCTGAGTCCGTCCTCCCCAAAGGCCACATCTGCACCAGGGTAAGCACGGCCCGGAGAGGAAACTTACTCACACGCAGCTCCGGGGAGGAGGCATCAACTGCTTCCTCTACCTTTAAGGAGGGCAATTTCTCAAGCTCTATAAAAAGCCTTTAAATGGGTAAGATGTGACCTAGAAATTTCATTTCTAGGATTTTGTCCTAAAAAATATATAAAGATATATGCAAAGAATTAGCTATAAATATGTCCATCTCTGCCTTGTTTGAAATAGTAAAAACTTGCAAGCAAACAACATTTCTAACATTTGACCATCCTTTACATATATTAAGGGGCTATCTATAACATAAATCCACTGTAGTCATTGAGGGTCATTTTTGCAATAATGGACACGAGATTGTCAATTAAAAAGGGTAATTTCATCAATGTGATGGTGACAGGAAAGTCACATTTAGAATGGGGAGAGAGACTGGGCGCAGTGGCTCATGCCTGTAATCCCAGCACTCTGGGAGGCTGAGGCAGGTGGATCACGAGGTCAGGAGTTCAAGACCATCCTGGTTAACACGGTGAAACCCTGTCTGTACTAAAAAATACAAAAAATTAGCCAGGTGTGGCGGCTGGCACCTGTATTCCCAGCTACTCAGGAGGCTGAGGCAGAAGAATGACGTGAGCCTGGGAGGCGGAGCTTGCAGTGAGCCAAGATCGCGCCACTGCACTCCACCCTGGGTGACAGAGCGAGAGACTGTCTCAAAAAAAAAAAAAAAAAGGTGTGTGTGTGTGTGTGTGTGTGTGTGTGTATATATATACGTAAATATATATATAAATTAGCCGGACGTGGTGGCGGGTGCCTATAGTCCCAACTACTCAGGAGACTGAGGCAGGACAATCGCTTGAACCCGGGAGGTGGATGTTGGAGTGAGCCAAGATCACACCACTGCACTCCAGCCTGGGCGACAGAGCGATACCACCTCTCAAAGAAAAAATTAAACATTAAAAATCAGAATGGAGAGAGATGGCGCATTTGCAGGAGAGCCATGTGGTGGAGTATTAGGCAGCCACAAAGAGGAATGAAGCCTGACACAGCTGTGATGTGGATGGACCTCAAGACAGGGTGCGGAGGGGAAGAGGCCAGTACCAAAGGTAGCAAACTGTGTGGCCCCATTTATACGAAAGATCCAGAACAGATCGATCCACAGACAGGCACGGATCAGCGGCTGACTGTGCATGGGGTTTGGTGCTGGGGTTTCCTTTCGGAGTGATGGAAATATTTCAGAAATACAGATAGCAACCAAGTGCATGTGCTGCCAGCTGCGAAACACTGCACATTAACGTGGTTTATGTTAGGTTTGCCTGCAGCACCTGTGATCTGTCTCCTGCTGGACGCTGAGACCCCCCAGTGTCGCCTCTGGGAGCTGTGTGGGACCCTGCACACTAGATGGAGGTTTGCCTGACTGTTAGTTGACTTGCACATGGTCAGGCCCCCATTCAGCGCCAGGCCAGCACCGCCATCCTTCCGGCTCCCTCCAGGACTTGCTGGGCGGGCTCTCCCTTAGTTCTCCCACCCGCATTGATCAAAGCCCTTAGGAGACAGTCGGCCTCTTGCCAGCCCGTCCCCTGCCCAGCACAGCATGTTCTCGAGGTTGGAGAAGGCTGCAGGTGCCACGCCCAGGCATCCCAAAGGAGACTCCAGGCTTTGCAGGCTCCTCCGGCCTGCCTGTTGTCCTGATCGCTCCCTGCAGCCTCTGCTGCCTGCCAGCATGGGGGGACCTGCTTCTCAAGCCCGACCCCATTCATCGTCAGCCACGTACTGGGTGCCCGTGACGGTCTGACGCTGACGCCTGATTCTGCTTTCTGCCACGTGGCATTCGCGGCCGTCGCCACAGCCATCAGGTCTGTGGAGCCACGCGCAGGTGCGCATTCCTGGGAGTGGGCGCAAAACCTCAGATGGGAGAGCAGAGGCTGCAGGGCAGGTAACGTGCTCCCCTCTGTGACCTGGGCAGACGCCTGCACACCCGTCCTACCTGCGGGCACTGAGCACTCACCCAGACCTGTGGCTGTGCCCTCCACGTTTGTCATCCAGGCCCAGCTCCCCCTGCCTGCCCAGTCTCAAACCGGAGCCCTAGCCCGGTCCCAGATCGTGGGGTGCTGCCCTGGGGTCCCCCATCAACACAGGATAACACCACCAGCGCCAAGCACCCCTGAGCAATCTGCCCTGAGCAACTTGCCCTATCACTGTTTCAGTGACTCAGAGCCCCGTTCTAGATGCCCAGGCACCTGCCAGCTTCATTGCTGGAGTGAAACTGGGGGTGACGGGGCTGCCATAAAAGATGACAGTGGGACCACGTTGAGGTCACCTAGTGTTTCTTCTTCAGGTCTCCATGACTGAACTCACTGGGCTGCCCTAGGACCACTGCAGTCAAGACCATCCTCTGCAGAGTGTGGGGGTAGGAGGTGCCTCTGCTGTGATGTCGGGCAGCAGGTGGGGAGGGCGGGGGAAGGCGGCGTGTTGTCGGAGTCTCCTGCTGGGTTGGGGGTCGGTAACTCCTGGGTTTTGGGGAGGAAATCCTGTTTCTGGAGGAAAATGGCAGCTCCTCGGGGGAAGCTTGTCTGAACTTTGGGGCAGCCTGGGACACACGTGTGCATGCACATATGTACATACATGTGCACACAGGCACACACCAGCACGCACATGTCCCCACACGTGTGGACACACATGCACACACGTGTCTTCACACACGCACATGTGTGCACACGTCATATCGCACATGCACACGTGTCCTCACACACATGCACACACGTCCTCTCACACATGCACACACGTGCCCTCACACACGCCAAGTATCCACACACATGCACACACGTGCCATCACACACATGCACATGCACGTGGCCTCACACGCACACTCACACGTGTCCTCACACACATGCACACATATGTGTCCTCACACACGCACACATGTCTCCTCACACACGCACACACGTGTTCTCTCACGTACACTCACATGTGCCCTCACATACATGCACACACAAGTGTCCTCACACACATGCACACATGTGTCCTCACATGCACACATGTACCCACACACAGGTTATGAGATGGGGCTGTCCCCAGGGCTGTGCCCCGTCTTGGCCATCCTATCCCGCCGTGTCCTGGTCACACTCCCAGCAAGGACTTACCTGACTCAGCTGTTTCTGGACTTCCTACCTGTGCCTCCGTCCTGTGTGCCATCACGCTACTCCAGGAACACAGCTGATTACTCATCGATTACTAATACCTGCTAGAGCTAGCCACTCCTTCCTTCTGCTCATTTTTCTTGAGTATTTTTGCTTTTATTTTTCCGTATGAAGTTAAAGTCCCTTGACTAATCCCAGGGAAAGCAACACATTAGTATTTTGATTGCAATTGCATTCAATTTGCAAATTAACTTAGAAGAATAGACATCATTGTCATACTAAGTTTTCCTGACCATGTGAATTTCCATTTTTGTTTTTTTCATGAATGTTGTGAAGTTGTTCTCACGTAGGTCTCGCCCATTTCTTGTTAAATTTATTCATAGGTATTTTATCTCTTTTGTTGCTGTCGTAAACGGGGCTTTGCCTTCCATTGTGTCTTCTAACTGGTTGTTGTGCATTATCGCATTTTGTCTTGTAGCCTGCGTTCCTCTGCCTGTGCCTCATTCAGGCTTCAAGATTGGATTCCTTTAAAAGGCAAAGACTGTAGCTCCTTTCTCTTCAAATCCTCCTAGTGTCTGGCTGAAAGTCTTGCCCCTTAGGAGGGAAAAATGGCTTTTGGAAGTGGATTAGGAAATGAGAGCATGGATGTCGGACAACGGGCTCGGATCTGCAGGTCCTCAGTTTCATAATCCGTCAGCTAAGGTTGTGGCACCTGTGCCCACAGCACATATGCTGCTCGCAGATTCGGATACACGTGTGGGTGTGTGCTGTGTGGACGGCGGTGGGATCCATGTACCTCAGGCGGTGCTGCCCTGGAAAGCTCAAGACTGGCACAGACTGTCACCACGAGCTGAGACCCAGGTATAGAGTAGTTCCCAGGTGTGGTCAAAGTCAGCATCCACCAGACTAGAGCACCCTGGGGTGACGGCAAGTTCCCAAAGTCAATGCCAAGCCCATGTGCACTTTCTGCCTCTGGAGACAGAGTCTGAGAGTTGGGAGGGGGGCCTTGCCAGACCCCTGCCTGGGTCCCTGGCTAACTGTGAGGGTTTTGCTTTGGGGAGGGGCTGAGACTGACACACCTCTGAGCTGGGAGAAGGAGGTGGGAGTGAGAAAAGGGAAGCAGGGGGTCAGAAGGAGCCACAGAACGTCCCTGATGCAGCCCTGTCCCGGGATGCTGGCAGCGCAGGCACTGGGCTCTTGCAGGCTCCTGCGTCCCCAGGCCTGAGCCCTCGGGGCAGCAGCTGGCAGGGGTCATCTTTGTGCAGGGCAGGGGGGCACCTTCGTGCAGGGACAGGAATGTGTGCCACGGAGCCGCCTGGGGCCTCACATTGAGGACACACAGCCTCTACTGAGGGCAGAGGCCCAGCCCATAGGCCTGCACCCCACAGCACCTCCACGCACCCCACAGCACCCGACGCACCCCACAGCACCTCGACGCACCCCACAGCACCTCCACGCACCCCACAGCACCTCCACGCACCCCACAGAACCCGACACACCCCACAGCACCTTGACGCACCCCACAGCACCTTGACGCACCCCACCTCCAGGTGAGCCGGGCATGTCACAGACAGGACACACTTGTCAGCGGGTTTGAGTAAAAATGACATTCCTGAGGAGAATATTTTTAACAGATTATTCATTTGCTGAAAACCAGCAGCTGATAAATATTGAATTGCACTTCCTCACAAACACACCAATTATCTCCCCAAAAGCAGGAATTAGTGCTGCATAGCGGTGCATTAATAAATGTCATTCAGCTAATTGAATTTCTTGATTGACTAAAATATTCCCTGTTCTGAAATTCATTCAGACAACAGGGAGGTTTCCATGGCGACAGCTCTTCCCCGGGGGCGAGGTGGGGAGCAGTCGCCCTCCCTCCTGCTGGGAGAACCCCGAGAGGTTCCAGGGTTCCCCTCTGGTGAGCAGGGTGAGGGCAGGGCAGCCCCGCTGGTGGAGACTTCATCGGGGTGGACGTTAGCACCGGGGAGCCTGGGCCCCATGGAAACCTGGCCTCACTGTTCTCAGTCCACTGCTTCCAGCCTCTTCTCCTTAGGGACGTGGGGTAGCCTTCCCCGCCCAGTCTCCCTGTCCCATTGCCCAGTTTGGAGACCTCCAGGGCTTCCATGTGCTAGGAGGAGGAGCTCCCACCCTGGGCTTCCATGCCCCTGGCCCTACTGTCCTGCGGCCTGGGTTCCCTGACCCGCCCTTGTTGTTGGAAAGTCCCGCTCGCTCTTCATGCTCGGGGCCTCCAACTCGCCAAGGGCTAAGGGGGGCTGCTGAGGCAGGAGTCACTTCCTTCCCCAGAGCCCAGCGCCAAGGAATCTCCCTCCCTCCAGCTTCTCTCTTCCTTTCCTCCTTCCCCTCTCCCTCCCTCAGTCCTCCTTCTGTCCACAAGCATTTTGGGACGTCAACGCCTTTCACATTTTATTTTGCTTTATTATTTTATATTTTATTGTTTTATTTTATTCAGCCTGCTGGTCGCAGAGGAGGAGTGGAGGGGTCAGCTGGGAGCCTTCTAGTTTCCCTGGAGCGAGGGCCTGAAGGACGCAGGTCTCCATCTCAGTGTGTGTAAAGTCGGGGGCACACCTCTGCCCAGGGGTCTCTAGGGGTGATGAGGAGGGGCCATGCCTGTTTCTGTCCCTGGTGCTCAATCCAAGAGCTCTGTCTCTGAGGATGGAGCATCACATCAACCCCTGGTTAAAGCAGCCCAGAGGCTGGGACCTCGGCCCCCCAGGCTGGTGCCTCTGCCTTAGCTCAGCCCTCAACAGGCCACAGCCACTCCCCAAGGCCGGCACTCCCCAGTCAGGGACACTTGCCCACTCGTGAGGCCACCACCCACCTCCTGTCCATAAGACAGGCACATTGTTCCAAGGCAGGCGGGCCTCGGGGTCTGTGTGGATCAGGCCTGATAGAAACGTCTATGCCAAAATGTGTATGACTGTAATCTCTGGTGCTGGTGATTTCAATTTTGTTTTCTTAATTTACATTATCTCATTTTTTTCCATTAGATGTTCTCTATTGAATTGCAACCTTGACATGAATATTAAAATAATTTTTAAAATAAACCTGGCTGTTGAAATGAGGCAGCAAAAGCACGCTGAAAGCAGGCAGTGAGCACGGGTAGGTGCGGCTTCCGAGTAGACGTTCAGGGCCCTGATGATCCCATGTCCAGGGAGGTGACCTTCAGGAGGGTGAAGGAAGCCAGCTTTGCAGGGCATGTCACTACATTGCCACACTCAGCTGGGCTCATTATACCGCACCTGCAGCACCTCCAGGTCTGGGCTGTGGGGAGCTGGTGCAGAAGCCAGGCATTAGGTTGGCCTGAAGGGTGGGAGGAAGGTGGTGGCCCATGGTCACGGGTTCAGGCCACAGGGGGCATGTGGTCTGGATGCTGCTGCTGGACTCTCTCTGGCACCAGTTTGACTGGCATTGGAGACTTGTATGGAGTGTTTGAGATGCCAGGGCCAGCCAGGCTCAGTGGCTCACACCTGTAATCCCAGCACTTTGGGAGGCTGAGACGGGCAGATCACGAGGTCAGGAGACCGAGAGCATCTTGGCTAACATGGTGAAGCCCCATCTCTACTAAAAATATAAAAAAAAATGAGCCAGGCATGGTGGCGGGCATCTGTAGACCCAGTTATTCGGGAGGCTGAGGCAGGAGAATTGCTTGAACTCGGGAGGCAGAGGTTGTGGTGAGCTGAGATCACGCCACTGTACTCCAGCCTGGGCAACAAGAGTGAAACTCTATCTCAAAAAAAAAAAAAAAAAAAAGAAAAGAAAAAAGGAAATACCTGAGAGTGAGTAATTTATAAGGAAAAGAGGTTTAATTGGCTCTCGGTTCTGCAGGCTGTACAGGAAGCATGGCGGCATCTGATTCTAGGGCCATCAGCAGTTCAGAGAGGTGACATTACTTTCAGACTGGCCCAAAGCTGGTAAGTAGCAGAGACTGGCTGAGGGAAGAAGAGCCAGATGTCTACCCTTGATGCCAAGTCCTGCCCACACTGGCCTCACATCCAGCTCCCTGGGTCCTCAGGGAATTCAGCCCCCAGAGGCCCTGCCCACCAGATGCAGCCAAAGCAAAGGGCAGCCCCACCCATGTGGCTCCTCACTGGGCTGCTGGTCATGTAGGACTCTCTGTATAGTTTAGGGTAGAGCTGGCCTCATGGAATGATTTAGGAAGTATCCCCTCTGCTCTCATCCTCTGAAAGAGATTGTAGAGAATCGATATGATTTCTTTCTTAAATGTTTGGTGGAATTCACCAGTGAACCCTTGAAGATAACCAATTAATGATTTAATTTCTTTGCTAGATATAGGCCTATTCAGATTGTCTATTTTTTCTTGTGCAGGTTTTGGCAGAATTGTGTTTTTCAAGGAATTGGTTTATTTCAATTAGGTTATCAAATCTGTGGGCATAGAGCTGCTCGTAGTATTTCTTTATTGTCCTTTTAATGTCCGTGGGGTTTGTAGTGACGTTCCATCTTGCATTTCTGATGTTAGTAATTTCTGTCCTCTCTCTTTTTTCATAACTAGCCAGGTTAGAAGTTTATCAGTTTCGTCAGTATTTTCAAAGAGCCAGCTTTTGGTTTTATCAATTGTCTCTATTGATTTCTTTTTTCAATTTCATTGATTTCTGCTCCAATTTTTATTATTTATTCTCTTCTGCTTACTCGGAATTTAAGTTGCTCTTCTTTTTCCTAAGGGGGAAAGTTAGATGGTAGATTCTAGATCTTTCTTTTCTAGCATGGGCATTCAATGCTATAAATTTACCTCTAAGCACTGCTTTTCCTGCATCCCATAAATTTTGTTAAGTTGTGTTTTCATTTTTGTTTAATGGAAATATTTTTACATTTCTTTTGAGATTTCTTCTTTGACCTATGTGTTATTTAGAAGTGTGTTGTTTAATTTCTGGATATTTAAGGATTTCCAGCCTTTGTTTGTTACTGATTCTTAGCTTAATTCCAATGTGATCTGAGAGCAGGCATTGTATAATTACTATTCTTTTAAATTTGTTAAGATGTGTTTTGTGGCCCAGAATATGGTCTATCTTGTTTGACTTTTCATGTGAGTCTGAGAAGAATGTGACTTCTATTATTATTGGATGGAGTATTCTACAGATGTCAGTTATAGCCTATTGACAAATGGTGTTGAGTTCGACCTGGCTTTACTGATTCCCTTCCTGCTGGATCTGCTTATTTCTGATAGGGGGATATTGAAGCCCCCAAATGTAACAGTGGATCCGTCTCTCTCTCCCTGGAGTTCTACAGTTTTTGCCTGACAGAATTGGATGCTCTGTTGCTGGGTGCATCCATGCTATAGTTTGTTATGTCTTCCTTGGTTACTGGCTTGTTATGTCTTCCTCAGTCATTGACTTGTTATGTCTTCCTGGGTCATTGATTTGTTATGTCTTCCTGGGTCATTGACGCTTTATCACTAAGTCATGGTCCTTGCCCTCCTTGATCATGTTCCAGATGATGGTCCTCTGCAGTCTGTCTGAGATAATGTCACCTGTGCCTGATTTCTTTTGATTAGTGCTAGCGTGATACATCTTCACCTCTCTACTTGTCACCTATGTGTGCCTTTATTTTTATTTTTTTAAATTTTTTGAGATGGAGTCTCACATTGTCACCCAGGCTGGAGTCAATGGCATGATCTTGGCTCACTGTGACCTCCACCTCCCAGGTTCAAGAGCCTCCACCTCCCTAGTAACTGGGACTACAGGCACATACCACCACATCTGGCTAACTTTTTTTTTTTTTTTTTTTTTTGGTACTTTTAGTAGAGACTGACTTTTGCCATGTTGGCCAAGCTGGTCTTGAACTCCTGACTGCAAGTGATCCACTTGCCTTGGCCTCCCAAAGTTCTGGGATTACAGGTGTGAGCCACCACGCCTGGCCTGTGTGCCTTTATTTTTAAGGTGGGTTCTTGTAGACGACATGAGCAGCAGCCCCCCGTTTTGCTTCCACAGTTTCAGGTATTGATGGTTTCAGCTCTCTGAGGCCAACCATGGTCCAAAAATATTAAATGGAACATTTCAGAAATAAAAACTCATAAATTGAAATGGTGTGCCATTCTGCATAGTGCAATGGGATTTTGTACCATCCCATTCTGTCCTGCCCAGGACATGACTTACTCCTCTGTCCAGGGTTTCCAGTCTGCACACTACTCACCCACTAGTCCCTGAGTAGCCATCTCAGCTATCAGATACAAAAACAAACAAACAACAACAACAACAAAACCACGTAACATAAGGTAAGTCCTCCCTTATAGTAAAATAGAAATTTGTAAAGTCTATGACAATCCTACAAATGCATGACAGCAAAGATTGTGACAGGAAGCGCTCAGCGAGCTGCTTTATCTGTGATGGTTTGTGAGCCACCATGCAGCTCATAAACCTATCAGGTGATAGGTTCTTGGAAACTGTGACTTTAACCCAAACAAAGCAGAACAAAACCAATTTTACAACTTGATTTTTAACAAGAGTTAAGTTCCAGTGGTGTATTTCTGGTCACAAACACTTCATCAAACTTCTAAATGAAGACCCAGAATACTTCTAGTATTAAACATTGAAATAAATTTAAGCTGTACATACATTTAAGAAAGATTAATGAAAACAAGCAGGATGACTATCTAATTGTTGGTGAGTTGGTGAGTGGCGGTGGTCGTGTGCTGGTGGGTTAAACCAAAGAACAAATGTTTGCAAAGGGAAAATCGTAAGAGGCACCTCCTGTCCCCACACAGCTCACAAACCAGCAGAGACACGGCGGCTCGCCGACTGTTTTCCCTCCACGTCCTTTACTGCCACACGTTTGTATAATTATCGTAGACTTTACAAATTTTTATTTTACAATAATTTGTATTCATTCATTCATTCATTTTCCAGCATGCTTATTCCAGGTGAGAGCACAGGAAGGAACCAGCCCTGAACAGCTCGCCCTCCTCACCAGGTGACCCCCACACACCCTCACTCACTCACACCAGACCCATGTAGATGCACCAACTCACTGAGCGTGCACATCTGTGGGAGGTGGGAGAAAGCCGGAGCACCTGGAAAAAACCCTCGCAGACAAGAGGAGAACATGCGAGTTCCACACACACAGAGGAGAAGACAGGGAATCAATGTTCTTTTTCTCATCAACATTATAACAAGACAGCATTGGACAAAAAGATGTTGTTTGAGGATCTGCTGTGCATGACATGCTGGAAAAGGCGTAACTACGGGGCTAGTACAGAAATCAATAGTTGCTAAGGGCTGGTGGGGAGGGAGGGATGAAGAGGGGTCGCACGGAAGGTCTGGGGGCCCCAGATGAGGCTGCAGTGCTGGATTCAGTCCACGCACCTTGTCAGAGCCCACATCACTGTGACAGCAAGCCCTGCTGTGACACTCAGGCATAGAGTGAGCCCTACTGTGAACCAGGGGCGTTGGGCCATAATGATGCGTAGATGTTTGCTCATCAGTTCCACCAAATACACCTTCTCATGGGATGAGTCAATAATGGGGGAGCCTATGCATTTGTGGGGCCAGGGGGCGCTGGAATATCTCTGTACCTTTGCTCAATTTTGCTGTTCTGAGCCTAAAACTGTTCTAAAAGATAGACTTGCCCAGGCATGGTGGCTCATGCCTATTAATCCCAGCACTTTGGGAGGCTGAGACGGGCCGATCACCTGAGATCAGGAGTTCGAGACCGGCCTGGCCAACACAGTGAAACCCCGTCTCTACTAAAAATACAAAAATTAGCCGGGCATGGTGGTGGGTGCCTGTAATCTCAGCTACTCGGGAGGCTGAGGCAGGAGAATTGCTGGAACCCGGGAGACGGAGGTTGCAGTGAGTTGAGATCCTGCCATTGCACTCAGCCTGGGCAAAACAGCAAGACTCCATCTAAAAAAAACAAAAAACAAAAAACAAAAAAACAAAAACAAGATAGACTTAAAATAAACAAACAGACAAACGCACCAGGGCTGACCCCTGGGAGCTGACAAGCTAATCCGGTCCATGAGCCTCTCATGAACTCACAGGGACTGGCGGCAGCGTGGAAGGCCTCCGTATACTGACCTGCCCGTGGATGCCGCTGCTCACCGCCATCTCTGGGAGGCGGCAGGTCCCTCGCAGAAGCGGGCCTGTGGAGGCATTTCTGTATCTATTTTTTTTTTCCAGGGAATTGTGTGTTCAGGCTGACATTAGCAGGCTGTGGTGTATGCACTGATTCCATTGGTGGCAGAGCTGAGTGACTGGCGGGCTCCGCTCCCTTCCAGAAATGCACGCCCATGGCAGAGCTGCTGGCCTCCCTTAGTCCCTAGGAAGTGCTGGCTGTGAAACCTGAGCCTCCAGGCTGTCCAGTACTGGGCTGAGCAGCTGTCCCCACGAGACAGGTTGACGAGTCTGGATTTTGTGCCCAGAGCAACAGTGCAATGAGGTGACATGGAGTTGCTTTCAGTGAGAATGTGTCCATGACCTCAGAGTGGTTTTGATGATGCTTGCATCTAAAGGTCCTGAGAAGTGTGCAGAGAGAGGGAGCTGGGAGGGCAGATGGGCGTGTGCGAGAGGAGTGGGGATAGGAGAGTGGAGAGTGCTCAGTGGCGTGGGGGCGGAGAGAAAGGGAGACGGAGAGAGAGGGAGAAAGTGGGGAGAGAGGAAGAAAGGGCGGAGAGAAAGAGAAAGGGTAAAGAGAGAGACAGGGATAGAAGGAGATAGGGATGGAGAAAGCAGTTAGAGAGGGAGAAAGGGCAAAGGGAAATGGATAGAGGGAGAGAGGGAGAGAGCCAGAGGAAAAGACGTGGGGACAGAAAGGGAGAAAGGGGAGAGAAGAAGATAAGAGAGATAAAGGGAGAAAGGAAGAGAATGGGGAGGGAGAGAGAGGATAGAGAGGAGGAAACAGTGGCCCTGGGGTGAACCTGGGGAGGGACACTGTCTCCTGGTCGGTAGTAGGAGCAGCTGTGGGTGGCAGTGTCATTACTGGGACAGGGAAGATGGAAGAACGGAAAATTGGAGGTGGGAGATGAGAGGAGCCGTAGCCACAGCGACAGCACCTTCCGAGCAGACAGTCCTGCCAGCTGCCTGGGCTCTGGGTAGGGTGTGGGCTCCACAGGCACCTCTGGGAGTCAGGGGAGTGAGTGGTGCTTAAAACCACAGGGAAGCTCAAAGCCACTTAGGGAGTCGTGGGCAGGGAAAGCAGCCTCAGAGACCCCAACTATGTGCAAAGGAGGGAGGTGAGGAGGAGCTGCAGAGACTCACCGGGAGCACCCGAGGAGCCAGGGGGCAGGGGCCATCACAGGCACCGTAGAACCTCCCCTGTCCAGGGAGAGCCACACAGGAGCTGTCCCCACAGGGGTTCCTCATCTGCTTCCAGAGCCCCACCATGGGCAGAGGGGCACATGAGAGGCCCACCTGGGAGGGGAGGCCCACCTGGGAGGGAAGGGCCAGGAGGGTCCCAGAGCCCCCTTGGGGTCTCTGCATCCATCCTGTTCTTTCTCCTCTTTAGATGGGAAAAGGAGGAGAGAGGGTGTTTCTGGGCTCTGTGCACCAGGTGACGGCTTGGTTGCTTTTCCTGCTTTCTCTCTAGTAACCCTCCAAGCTTCCCAAGATAGCACCGCCGGGAATCCCCAGCTGCAGACAGAGGGCTGGCAGCTCCCTGGGCTCAGGAGATCTTCGCACATCCCTTCTCTCCCAGGGTTCCCACCTTGCAGACAGGAGGAGGTGGCTGAGGCCCAGCCAGCGCCCCCCACAGCCTCGCAGCAGATGGCTAAAGAGGAAGCCTGGCTCAGCTACACCTTGGGCCCACCAAGAAGGGACCACGCTCAATGGTAGAATGACACATGGGTGCTCTAACGGATTCTAGTTTTGTGAAGATGAACAAGCTCTAAGCAGGAGGACTTACGGGAGGTCAGCGGCTGGTGGCCCCGGCAGAGCTATCATGGACCTGTTCCATGAAGAAAGAGACACAGATCTCTCTGTGGAAAGGTGCAGGCTCTGCTGCAGGAGGAAAATGGCAACAAGAAGCCCAGCAGGTGAGTTGATGGGACTCTGTGCAGCCATCTCGCGTGGCCACCATGAAGTATGGACCAGCCCAGGGGAGGGTTTAGTTGATGGGACTCTGTGTAGCCCTCATGTGTGGCCACCGTGAAGTATGGACCAGCCTAGGGGAGGGTTTCAGGTCCGGAGATCTTAGTTGAGAGCATCACTGCTCCAGAAATGACCACAGACAGTGTCATTCTGAACTCACCGAGGTATCTGTGGACCCCCGGCGCCATAGACGTGCTGGAAAATGGGTTCTGGAGCCCAGGTGGACACCGTTTTCATCTCAGATCTTTGGTCCTCAGCACCTGTCCACTCCGACGTAGACGTATCAGCTCCCTGCATCTTACTGAGACACAGGAGCCAGAAGGGCCCTGAGGTTTTCATCACAGTGCTCGCCCCAAGTGCCTCCCAGCTTTGTGTGAGATGTGGAGGCATGTGGCTTCAGGAGGTGGGAAATGGAACAGACATGCTGCAGAGTCTGACGGGGCGCTGAGCTCCTTCACTGCTCTGCGGAGACAGGCTCGGGCCTCATCTGTTATTGGCCAAGGGAAGCAAGGAACCAGGGGAGGTGTGAGGCGTGCACCAGAGGCACCCCTTGAGTTAGGGACGAAAGCCTGGCAGAGCCTGGAGCTATGGCATGTTTAATCTTGGTGCATGGGTGTCCGCAGGAGCAGAGGGCCCCTCCCAGAGTCAGATCTGTGGTCTGTCCCGGGCGTCCTCCTGGGCATCCTGGAGACTCACAACTCCCGGCCATGGCTGTGGTCTTCTCCCTCTGTCCTTGGGTCCCCCTGCAGTTGCAGACTGGATTAACCTTGAGGATGGACAGTGGTGGCCTGGCTGCTGATTGACAGCCAGGACAGAGCAAATATTGACTCCTCACCTCAGGAAAGGGGCCGACGTTCCTTCCGCAGGCACACGCTGACCTTGCTTCCGTGGGAATCGATAGAAACCTCTCGAGTCAATAAATCTTAATGTTCCTTTCAACAGAAATCCATGCACCTCACTGTTGTTACTTGCCTGGAATGCCGGGCGGGAGCAGGCCCGGGGTCTGCGCCAGTGATCAGAGGGTGGTTTAGCCTCAAAGCTTCATCAGACCCTCCTGACTGAGACGACTAAAGACCCCTCCCCTCGGAGGGTGCTGACAGCACCCCCCAACTGTTCACAGCCCACTGGGCCCATCCCTAAACCACCTCCTGCCTACAGGAACAGTATGGGGAGAGAACAATGGAAAAGCCACGTGCTGTCACCTGCCTGGGACAGAATCCCTCTTGTCTGCCAGGCAGGTGACTTGACCCATCCTTTGAGGGAACTTTGAGGAGTAAGACAAACCCTCACTGTGGAAGGCCAGAGGGTCCCCTGTCCTACCTGGAATGATCCCCCAGCTCCATCTGCAGAGCCTCCCCTAGCACAGCCCAGAAGCTGAGAACCAGAGCCCCCAGGATACAGCGGGAGGGATACAGACCACTCGGGGGGTTCTGGGACTCGGAACAGCCTGTCTGGAATTCGAGCATCGCTAAGAAGGAAGTTGAGGAGCCCTGGAGTTCCTGGAGTGTGGGTCTGTGGTCCTTAAACACATCCCTTATATTTAAAAATAGCCCTTCCTCTCCCAGCAGCTCTAGATCCTGCTGGCCAGCCGCGTTGTCAGATGAGTTCACTGAAAGCAGAGGTCGTCTTCCCAGCCATGCACCTCTGAAGCCCAAGGAGTTTCCATGACTTTAACCAGAGACTTGTGCAGCCAGAACTCCTCTAGCGCTGACACGGTTGGGTTTCGTGTCTCATCCAAATCTCATCTTGAATTATAATCTCCGTAATCTCCATGTGTCAAGGGAGAGACCAGGTAGAGGGAACTGAATGGTGGGGGTGGTTTCCCCATGCTGTTCTCCTGACAGTGAGTGAGTCCTCATGAGATCTGATGGTTTTATAAGGGGCTCTTCCCCCTTCACTTAGCACTTCTCCTTCCTACTGCCTTGTGAAGAAGGTGCCTTGCTTCCCCTTCACCTTCCACCATGACTGTAAGTTTCATGAGGCCTCCCCAGAGCTCTGAGTCAATTAAACCTCTTTCCTTTATAAATTATTCAGTCTGGGCAGTTCTTTATAGTTGTATGAAAAGGGACTAACACAAATGCCAAAGGGAGGTGAGGCTCATGGGTTTGGGTCTCATCAAGCCCTCATGTTCCCACCACTGCTGTGTGAACATGGAGGAGTTTGTCTTCCAGCTTAAGCTGGGCCTATGGGGATGGTCATGGGGCCCACATAACCCAGGACCTGGATCCGCTCTGAAAGAAAGGGAACAAGTTGTTAAGAATGACCCTGTCCAACTGTTAACTAGCCAGCACAGACATATGACACAGCCCACTATCGAGGAACGTGGACAGCTTCCCACTGGGACCATATCCCAGTCACCCCACTGTGCTGGCCTCTCCTCCCCTGATAGCACACGGCCCCTCTGGACAACAAGAAGATAGAGGTGGCTTAAGCCTGGCCAGCTGGACCCCTTCCCAGAGAGTGAGGCTCCCTGGCCTCTCCCTGGCCAGAGATTGGAAAGCATGAATATGGTCTCATGGAGAAAAGCAGGTGCAGTGGAGAAAAATAAATCCCTGAACAGAGACACAGAAATGAGAGTGCATGGAGGGAGGGACACAGAGGCCAAGCTGAGCTGGCAGGGCTGTGTGGGCTGACAGTCCCCTTTTTGCTCTAACAGAATCATGGACTGTCTTGAGTCTCCCTCACTACCAAAGTTGGGGTGGGATTTCGCCACTTGGGGGTGGGGAGGGTGGTGGAGAGCAGGAGCCTGGGGTTGCCCTCTGCAATAGCAGGTTCAGCCACAGCACCTGCAGGAGCAGAGGCAAGAGAAGCTTGAGGTGAGGAGCCACCGAGGAACAGAAGGGATCAGGGAGTACTTGGCACATCCCCCTATCACTTCCAAGAACTGGTTCTGCTGCCCTGGTCACGAGGAGCACCTCTCGCCACAGCAAAGGTTGGAAGAGCCATCTCAGAACCAAACATGTTTGTGCGTACCTTTGAGCCTGTGTGCATGTTAGGTTTTTAAATTGTGCCTTTCCACCAACATTCCTTAATCTGGGAGCTGAGGATGAATATGCATCAGGTGAAGAGGAAGGGAAATGCATTTGAGAGGGAGGAACCACCAAGAACCCAGGGACCACAAGCAATGGCAGCAAAGGGGGAACAGCAGGAGGTGAGATGAGTGAGAAAGGAAGCATCAGCTCATTCAAAGCTTTGAGGCTTTGCATGGAAGGTGACCTTGGTTAGTTGTGAGTCGGAGCCTGAGAAGTGGTCTGTGGTGGAGTGAAATGAGAAGCAGGTCTTCATGAAAGATCACTCTGGTGAGCGAGAAACTTGGGGATCAAGTGTGGAAGGGGGAACAATGTGGGAATGGACTTGGCTGGAGCAAAGGCCCCATATTCTGCTCCCTACAAGATCTTCCAGGGAGAAAGATGCCATAGTTCTCTGCTGGTTCAAGGAGAACCAGCTATCCATCCATCCATCTATTCATCCATCTACACATCCATTCATCCATCCATCTATTAATCCATCTACACATCCATCCACTTATCCACCCATCCACCCACACACTCATCCACCCATCCATCCATCATCCATCCACCTACCCACCCATCCATCTGTCCACCCACTCATCCTCCACTCAGCTATCCATCCATCCATGCATCCACACATCATCCATCCACCCTTTGCCTATCCATTCATCCATATATCCATTATTCATTTACCCATCCATCCATCGTCCACCCACCTATCCACCCATCCATCCATCCACCCACTCATCCATCCACTCAGCTATCCATCCACCTATGCATCCACCCATTCACCCATCCATTCATCCATCTATCCATTATTCATCCACCTATCCATCCATTATCTACCCACCCAACAACTCACCAATCCACCTATCCATTCATCCATTGACCCATCCATCCATCTCCTCATCTATCCATCTACCCACTCATCCATCCATTCATCCATCCATCCATCCATCCATCCATCTATCCATCCATCATTCATCTACTCACCCATCCAAGCATCCACTTATCCACTCATTTCTTCCTTCCTTCCTCATCTTTGTTCAATGTCACATTCTGGAACAGGTGTTTCAGAGGCTATAGATGCTGCAGGTATCAAGGAAGAAAGGGTCTTGCCCTCTGGGACTTTCGTTCTGTTGGAGAAGCAAAAAAATAAATAAGCAAATTAAAAAACAACAGCAGCAACACTTCCCTGTGTGGTGGTTGTCTGAAGCTGAAAAGGGAGTGGCCTGAGCCTATTGGCTGGAGGGCCTGGCAGGGTCCACTGTGGGCTGAGGGTGTGAGATGCCACGAGAGGTAGTGGGCAGGGACCCAGCCTCACAGACATGGGTGCGAGCCACCCCACTCACACGTCTCACGACGAGAGCAGGGTTTCCATGGGATTGGGAGTCTGTCCGCTTTATTTGTAAGAGAAGTCAGGCATTCCCCTTCCTCTTCTGTGGCTGGAGTCAGCAGGGACAGTCCATGGGGACCTGGGTCATGGGCTGGCACTGCCTGGAAAAGCTTGAGTAGATGGGGGCTTCCTGGCCTATGGTAGATGGGTAGGGGGGGCGGTCCTGCAGATGGGTGGGGGGGTCCTACAGACAGATAATAGCTGATCCCAGAAGAGCAAGGCAGCCGTCCAACCAAGGGCTCGCAGGGGGCCACCCTGGACCAGGCCTCAGTTACTGTGCTCTGGATCCCTCTCTCCTCGATATATCAGCCAGGGGGCCTTTGTGGGGCCTTTGTGAGCCCCTCGGTGTCCTGACACAGTGCTGAGATTAATGCCATTAACTGGTAACGGGGAGAAGAACAGGGCCTGGACTTCACTGCAGAGCGCCCTGTGCCCTAGCGTGTGTGTCTATGTGCATGGAGTGCACGCATATATTACAAGACACTGCCACAGCCCCACCCTGTGTTACCTGTCCATCTGGTACCCAGGCAAGAGACCTGAGTGACCCCACAGCTTCCTCCTCATCTGCTGCCCAGGTGGGAAGAGGCCCGCTCCAGCTGGGGCCCTGAGAAGGACATGGCTCTTCCAGTCTAGCAGAGCAGAACCTCCTCTGTGGAGCCCTGCTTGCAGCAGCCAGCCAGTGGCCTCGTGCAGCAGGGACAGCTCGGCCTTGCACACCATGCCTGTGGGAGTGCACACTCACGGGCGCTCGCTGTTCAAGTGGGAAATTCAGGCTGGAGGGTGGCACAGGTGGCCCAGCAGGAGCCCCGGTAGGGAGCGGGAGCCCACCCTGCTCTAGTCTTGACAGGAGCTGGCATTTGTCTGGGGGGCTCAGGTTGGAGAGATGGCCTCAGGCCCTGGTCGGGGCTGCCTGTCCCCCGAGTGCATGAGGAAGATTTTAATATTGGCTGGGACACAAGTGAAGGCCCCAGTGATTAGGACGCCATCCATCTCAATATAACAACCATTATATCAGCAATTACCATCATCATTGTAAGTTCAGGATTTATGGAGTTTGTAATGATTATTTTTGTAATGTTAAGTTAGAGGAATTTTTGGCAATAGATCAATTTGAAAGAAATTGAAATACAGTTTTTAAGTGAGGAGCTCAGCAGAATTAAACAACAAAGTGTGTGCGAGCGTTCGTGCAGGCGTTTGTGTGAGTGTGTGTGCCTGGGCGTGTCCCTCGTCCTGCGCCTGACCAAGAACTGACTCCGTGAAAGTGGACGCAGGGACTTAGAGCAGGGCTGGCATGTGATTTGACTCCCAGACTCCGGGAAATAATTGACTGCCATCAGATTGAGGTTCAGACATTGGGTCCTAAAAATGTCCCCAAGGACTGTGGGGTCCTGGGACTGTCCAGCAGGAAATTATGAGCACAGGACAGAACTCTGCTTCTAGGGCTATGGCTGCCTCTAGACCAGGAGCCTCTACAGGAGGGACAGTGAGAAGGTCCTGTGAATGTGCTTTCCAAGGTGGCCTCGGGCCTGCCGTGCGAG